GTTAACACTATTAACACTATCGTGTAAGTTTAGGGTTGGGTTTGGTGTAGGGGGTATTTCTAATACAATATTTTTGATGACCAATTTAAACCAGTTAAGATCAGTTAAGCCCGTTTCAAAACATGCTACTTTGCCGTTCACTCACTAACTAGGAAGCTAACTTCTAAGACAGCATCTTAAAGGAGTAGTGTACTTCCAGAATAAAAATGCCCTGATAATTTACTCACCCATGTCTTTCAGTCTTCAGTCGCAAAGAAAGTAAGGTTTTTGAGGAAAACATTCCAGGATTTTTCTCCATATAATGGACTTCAGTGGTGGCCAATGGGTCCAAATTGCAGTTTCAATGCAGCTTCTATGGGCTCCCAGCCAAGGAATAAGGGTCTTATCTAGCGAAAGGATCAGTCATTTTCTTAAAATAAAATATACCCCCTTAACTATTGCTTTTATTTGTTTCCCAGTTTATGATTATTAAAAAAAAAAAACATTGAAAATATCTTACATATTTGAAAATTGTGTTGGACAATGTGGGGCCTTCAGATCAACAAGTCTGAGAACCACTGCTTTAAATGCTTGTTTCATAGATGAGGTTCCATCTCAATTGACCTATCGGTAAGCCCCTCCCCTCGAATGCAGATGAGCCAATGGCAGTCGAGTATCAGTTGCACGGGGAGCGGAACTCGGACATGTTTAGGTTTCAGCGCCATAGAGAAACATTGGGAGATCCGAAGCTCGCATCGGTTTAATGGTGTTTATGCTACAAAAATGGAAAAACGATGTGCCTGGGGTACTTGTAACACTAATTCCAGTTATCCTGAGAGGATAGGCAATGTAATTTATTTTATTCCATTTCCTAAATCCAACCAAAACAGAGCAAAATGTCTCTAAGCATTCAACCCCAATCACAATGAAAACGAAAACATTCATTTTCTGGTTGTCATACTCTCATTAAGTTACACTTTTCATCTGCTCAAGCAGAACGTTAATGTCATCTTGTGCTTCAGCAATGTATCTCTGGCTAAAACTAGCTAATGTTAGCGTTAAAGTTAGTGAGTCCATGTTAACGTACAAACCTAAATAGCAAACTGTTCTCACATCATGTACTGTGCAGTGAAAGTCAAAAACATAAACGAAGGTTTATATTAGAGTGCCTCCATATTAATCTGGTTAAAAGTAAATTAATTTAATCT